AATTTTTTTGTTATATTTATATAATAACTTATGTTTCATTAAATTTATGATACATTAAGCAAACATTCTAATAAAAGTTTTATAATATTTTTAACATATAATTAATATAATAATATTTATTAATTTAATGCCTCATGAGTTATAAGAGTTGATTAATCGAAAATAAAATGTTTGTTGAAATCAAAGTTATGATCAAAAACTGTTAGAAATTATTTTCATTTTCAGTCACTTTTGATTACATGTTAGACATATTTGATAGCAAAAGTGCATCGCTTTTGATATACTTATTTAATAATATAAAATATATTATATATATATATATATAAGATATATACTTTATAATAATGTATATATACAACACCAAGAATTGCCATTTTATGAAACAAAAAACATTTATTTTGATTTACACTAATGTTTGTATAGTATTTGAAACTAACGTTTGATTTGTTATTTTGTGTATTTTGTAATCTTTGAAAATATATTAATAATAATAAAATATTATAATAAAGATCAATAATTTAATTTTATGATGAGTTTGTATAATTTAATATTATAATTATTATAATTATAATCATATTAAAAATGTTTCAATTATATTGTTTATACAATTATATTATATATTTAAATCAAAACCCAATTCCACTATTTGTTTGACACTATAATTATTAGTCATATAATTATAAATAGTGTTTTGAATGATTAGTTGTGAAGACATGTGACTAAAAATCAGTTGATCGCTAAAAGTTAGGTTTAAATATAAGAAAAAAAGGTATAAAAATCTATCTCTCAGTGGATATCTTACATGACATCTATAATCTATAGTCTATATCATATAAATTATCAATAATTACTACTCGACTACTTTGATAATTATGTCTTATAAAATATAATTTACTAATTTATTATTTATATTATTAAATAATTATAATTTAAAACAATATAAAAAGTCTTAAGAATAATATTTTTCAATTTTATAGATAAGTAGATATTTTATTTATATTTTATTTTCATTTAATGCTAAATTTTTACAATATAAATAATTTATTCTAAATTTTTACATTTTTAAATATCTTTAAAAATTAACTTTAAATATTCATACAGTATAATATTTATTGTAATTTATATAATATCTAAATATTTAAACAAAGATAGATAATATAACAATAACTATAGAAAAAGATTTTTAAAATACAAATATTGTTAATATTTATATAAATGGTTAATATAAATGTATTTAATGATTATACAATATTAATAAAATATAATATAAAATAATTAAATTTCTATTCTATAACATTCATTCATAGGTATATTATTAATTGGTCCCTGAAACTTTTATTATACAGAAAGTATTAAAACTATATAAATAAAACAAATATAACATAACAAAATTTATTAGGTAATAAAAAATTTTAATAAAACAAATATTTTAAACATACAATAAAAACAGTAACTATATTGACAAAAAAATTAATTAATTAATATAATTGGGTAAAAAATAATTTAGATAGTAATAGTTTATTTGTAAATGAGTAAGGTATATAATCAACATTATCATAAAATACGTTGTAAAGTTAAATTCAAAAATCTATCATGATAACATTAAAGAGAGTTAAAACTGTCTCAGTACAATCAAAAGCAAAACGATAGCAGACGCACATCAAACACATAGATTACACTTAATATATACATACAAAAATACATAATATGTTTTGTATAAACTCCGCCCCTAAGAATTATTCCTAATAATATTACGCGTATACATAGACTTCTGTATTATACCGTATCATTGCGTGTCAGTCATTATTGTTTTGGTTTTGCTTATATTAAGACAGTTTTATTTATTATAAATAATAGAAATAATAGAATCTATAATATTATAGTTTTTGTCAAATAAATTGCTGTAGAATCTAGAAAACAGTATTAAAAAATATATTATATATTATAAAATAGAAATTCAAATATACATAAATTATATATTCAAATAAGTTACTATAAAATATAAAATTTAAATATATTTTTTAAAAAACAACATTACATACTATATTCATATATATTTAATTATTTCTTACAATATATTTATACTTATTTATGAAAATGCCGTTTCACTACATTAATAAACAAATTAAAATTTATTATTTTTTTAATACAAAATTTTCAATTATTTTTAGTAAGATTATTGGAGTTAACTTAAAAATTAATGATAACTTGTATTTATTTATTTATTACTTATAATAAAAATGTTAATAATTTAAAAATATAACTATAACTTATAATTTTTAATACTTTTTTAGCATTTGTATGGATTTTGATATATTCACGAACTCCTGAAAGGAGTATGAATTGAATTCTATATTTCCGTCTTTCTGTCTGCATTTGATTGAATTTTTAAATTTTGACTTCAGATTTGGATTAACCATCAAAAATAAGGTATAGAGAATCGGCATTAAAATTTTGATATCTCTTCGGGAACATAGAGAAAATAGCGGCCAAAATAAAAAAAATTTTACGTTAAATAATGTATAGAAATAAAAAATAAGATATAATAGATCAGCAATATTTTTTTCAAAAAAAGAAAGTGTAAAAGTATAAAGTAATTTATTTTCATAAATATGTATTTATAAATTTTAATACTGAATAATTTAATACTTGACATGAGTAGTTGAGTTTATTTTGTCATACTAAACCATTTAATACCTCACATTACTATATTTGAGTTTATTTTTTTTATATTGAATCATTTGATACCTCACATGACTAAATTATTAATAAGTAAATGTATAATAAAAATTTTATTTCTATTATTTTATAACTTATTGACTCGAGTTTAAATATTTTAATTTATGATAGTAAACAATTTATGTTTATTATACAAACATAAAAATAATATACTAAATTTTAGTATAAAATTTACAACTTTGACAACTACTTTTTTTAAATTTTTAAAAACATACATAACATTGAAATTAACATAAAATTATTCATAATTTTTAATAAGTAAAACTTAATATTAAACAAATCATATTTATTTTATTAATTATCTATATATCACATTGTTCATTTATATAAATATAATATTTAATTTGAAAAATAAATTACTTAAAATAATTATATTTATTCATTTATGTTTACGTATGCCTTATGATTACAATTATATAAAAACTAGTTTTCATTTTCAAAAAATAATACTTCATTGTAATGCAATTTATTATTTAAAAATATTTATTTAAGATAATTGTATTAAATATAAATACAATAAAATTTCCGCTTTATTTAATACAAATTCTCTAAAATAGACAATTTTGATTTAAATTAATAATATTTTGTATTTGTTTTTTTATCGATTCATATATATATATACCGAAAATATTATTATATTTTTATTCTAATATTATATTATTAAAATTGATAGACCTAGATATTTATGAAATTATTGAATTATTGTGTGCGGAAATTTAGTATTAATAATATTACAAATGTATTATTCACATACATTAAAAAATACTTAACATAAGGATTGTTATGTCATTGTTTTTGTCATATGGATGAGTGATTGTGGTCACCGAAACATTAGTGTTGACAAAAAAAATAACGTTTAATGTTGTTATAAGTATATAATTTTAAGTTTGAAATTAAAAATTTTTAGTAAATTATTATTTTATTTTCATCATATACAATTAATATAATATATTATATAAATAATGTACAATTATATATTATTTTTATCTTTTATTTTATAGTTATATAATAAATTTTAAAATAGATTACATCTTAAATATTTAAAAAGTTAAGAAAATTATTTTTTTTAATTGGTGAATGCACTTGATTTCAATTATTTTTGTAGTATAAATTATGTTTATATAATATAATATTTTTTTGGCAAATTTATTTACGTTGTATTATATAAAAATTGATTTAAGTTGTAATATCATATCATATGATATTTGTAACTTTTTGTTTACATATAATGTAAGATTTATATATATATTTTATTATATTATGATATGTCAATAGTATATCTTTCAATTTATTCGATGATATTTATACAATAAATAATATAAGACTAAGTTTAACATAGCCTTTAGCTTTTCTGACTAATTTATAATTATAATTTGTATTAGTCCATTAAAAATACATTTTTAAATTTTATGTTAAAAGATTATATTTACCAATTTATTAAAAACTAAAAATAAATTTTACATGTAATTACAAATATTATATAACATTTTAAAATATTTATATAAATATATATTATTTATTTTCTTATACTTCTATATTAATTATATTTCTATTTAATGTTTTTTCAGACATATGATAAATTTTAATTTGATAATATTTAATAGACAACGATTTAATATTTAAGATTTACATTATAAATATGCAAATATTATTTTTAATTTGGCAAAAAAAATATTAATAAAATATAGTACAATAAACTGTATATATATAATATTAAACCAGCTGAGAATGCTTTAAAAGCATTTCCACACGAATTCCTTAACTTAAAAAGAAAAAAAACCAAAAAAAATCAAAAAAAATTTTTTAGCTGAGCCTGGATTCGAACCTATGTCCTCGTGGGACAGACAGACAGACGGACAGACGGACAGACTTTTAGAATGCATATACGTATTCCTTTCAGGAATTCGTGAAAACTGATATAATATTAATATTTTAACATTAATGCAAAATAGCAATAAGTAAGAAACAAATTAATCAATAAACTATTTATTTGGGAAACTTTAGTAGAATAATAATAATAATAATAACTATAATAATATTCTATTATTTTTATGTTATATCAAATATTAGTTACATTATATATCTCCAGTGATTTACAATGAAATCCGAGAAAAAATACTAGTTATTGATTGAATTAAATGTTTATTTGTGTTTCACATATAGTAATTCAGTGACTATTGAATGAAATATAACAATAAAGTGTAAAACATTACCAGATTTGTGATGAATAGGTTTTTTAAAAATAAACATTTTTTATCATTTTATATAATCGCAGGTCTGTTACGGATTTCCAGAATAAATGTGAAGAATCTTTTGGCTTCTTTGCGAAAGTTTTCGTTTAGCCAACAGTAGACAAATGGACTGAAATTTAATTAAATTGTCAACAAATCAATTGTTTGTTTTTATTTTCTATTATATTTATTATGGGATAAAATAGTCAATACTTATCTATTTTAATTAAATATTAATATTATATACATTAGGTTGGGTAACAAATCATAATCAATATAGTTTTATATAATAAATTTATAATGTTTTCAATGTTTGGTTAATAAAAGTATAATTTTGATGCATATTTTTGTGATTTACTACCATATACAGTATATACACTGTATATATCAGGGTTATACGAGATTTAGGATTTTAGGGGGTATAGGGTGGGTGTACTTTTTTAAACAATTATTTTTAAATTTCAAACTTCAGGGATGGCAAGAAAAATTCCGAAAAAATTATCAAGAATTCCCAATAAATTCCTTAAATTTAAGAAATGTTTTATTAAATCCATAAAAACTTTAATTTTAATTAGATATATAAATATTAATGTAATATTTCATTTTTTCTGTCAATATTTAAACTAAACTAATTATTAAATTAATATTTATTTTATTTTAACTATAATTTTAAAAATAAATAATTAACCATTTAAAATATATAAATTATTTATTAAAAATACACTACTATATAGAATAGATATAATTATCTTAAATTTATAATTTAATTTAAAAAAAATAATGTTATATTTAGCTTAATTTTAACGTAAATTAGACTATTTTACTGAGTTTTAGTAAATAATTTAAATATGTATTTAAAAAACAAAAACAGATATTTTCAATTTAAAAAAAAATCAGGGGGTCATCATTATCTTCGTTTTTAAGCTACAATTTTTCCGATTTGGTCAAAAAGTCTAGGAGGGGGTAAAATCGCAAAATCTCGTTCTTAGGGGGTATTTTCCCCATACCCCTTCAAACCCCATGGTTTATATATAAATAAGTTATTTTATAAAAATAAAAATCAAATAATAATACTTATATTTATGTTTAAAATGAAATGAATTATACATTACTAACTTATAGCAAACGGATGACATCGCCAACCAATGGCAGAGTAAGAAAATGACAAAATTTGGTTTTTCAATGATTTCAAAGTCTAATAATAAGTAATAAACATTAAATGGTAGCCAACATAAGGCAAATATTGTAACCACAAGTATTAACATTGAAATACGGCGTCTCTTTTTTCCGGTCATTTGTCGAGCTCTGTCTTCAGTGGATTCACCGACCCTTCCCTGAGATAGTATTGTGAATGATATTCTTGTGTATATAACTCCAGCACACGATAAGGGAATTATATATTGTGTGACAAATGTCTCCAAAGTTAATATCAATCGCAAGTTATATTGAGTTTCGGGTAACGTTGGATAACACCGACGATTGCCATGAATTAAAACAATGCCATTGAATATAGTGTGTGGGAGTGAGTGAAGGGCTGCCAAAACCCATATTATTAGTAGGATTAACAGTAATTTAAAATCAAATCGTTGTTCACTGCGAACCGGAACTTGAGGTCGAGTCCTATAAACTGCTTGAAAACGGTTGATGGCTATGACAGCCATTGTAAAGCTGGAAACATATACACAATTAGCCTGGACAAATGATACCAATGTACAAAAAAATTGGCCAAATAGCCAGTCCCTTGTAATTATGTCGACAACAGTGAACGGTATGTTAAATATGGTCATCAATAAGTCAGAAACGGCTAAAACAGCAATTAATATGTTCGTTGAGTTTCGCATTTTTGACTGAAAAGCAATTGTCTTGAAAACCAGAGTATTGCCAACTAATGAGATAATAACTATCAATGAATACGATATCGTAATTAAAATGTTTTGAATGTAATCATCACTTTTTTCTTCATTTACATCACTGTTAAGCATTGGTCTATCTGTTTGGTTGTTAAAAAATACATTGAAATTATCAAAATGGCTTAAACTTAAATTCATCATGGTCATTATATGTGTCAAATTTTCAAGTAAATCATATGACATTTCATTTGATTTTATTATATTATCCATTATTTAATATAATGAAATTAATAATATTATTACGAATTATTATTATTATTGATGTTAGTGTTTTATTAAACTATAATATAGTATGTTATTGTAAAATTAACAATTGTTATATATTCAATAATGTAAAATTAAAAAAATACATAAAAACATTTTGATATCATTAATAAATCAACAACAATAATAATATTTAGCTTACAATTTAACTTTATATATAAAAACTTCTATTATAATAAAGCGTTAGTTATATATAATAATAATAATATTTCTTTTGTTAATATAACGAGAATATGAGACAAACAGAGTCACTGAATATCTTTTATATAGTATAGTAAGTGAACAGAATTGTATGTTTCGCGCATACAAATAGTCCAATACTACTACTAGTCTCATATATACAACAATCAATGGTAAACTCATACACTATATATAGTAACTATAATATACTATATATACAGTATATACAGTACTATACATTTACTGTTTACGAGTAAATTTATTTAAGTAACTGAGAATTTTTTTTCGGAAACTTTTTAGAAATCTTTTTAAGTAAATTTCTCACAATGAAAATCACAATCACTACACATATATTTTAATTATCAACTATTTTAATAAATCATAAAAATCAAATACTAATTTATAACTATAATTGATACAATGAAATTTTATTGTTAATGACTTAAGTATAGTATCTTTTATTTGCTATATTTATAAACATTTAATTATTTTACATTCACATTGAATTTATACTTTAGTAGCATTTTAGTTAAACAACTTAACAGATATCTTAATTATCATAATCTTTTATAATTAATATATTTTATATTAGACTATTTATTATTATTTTCTATAATATTTTAAACAATAATATTAATGATTTTTGTTAAATTTATACTTAGTAATATTACATTTTAACATTAATTAGAAATGTAAAAATAACAATATAATATATAAATATATATAACTTATTTTTATTTATTACAAAAGCTGATTAAGCTTTTATATAAAATAAGATTTATTTACCAATTTATTTTCTTTAAAATTAAATTTTTAACTATTAACTAACTAACTAATTTTAAGACTAATTTTTAAATATTATATTACATTTACAATTTAAAATATTAACAAATTGATACCGTATAATTTTCTGAAAAATATCTTATTAAAAGTTTCTATTTGTCTAACACTACTACTGTTTACGTGTAATTTCAATCAATAATATAAATGTAATGTAAATTCTTACGATTTTTTTTCACATCCAAATTACATGTTTGTGTCGTCTCTTATATTGATACAGATCTCAGGATTTCCACGTGTTATGAATGTTCCCTATATATTGATATTATACTACAGTTTGGCATTAATTTTAAGTTTTATTTAATCTCTAAATGATTTCAAATAAACAAAAATATTATATCCACAGCAATATATAAAAAATGTTTGTAATTAATACAAAAATAAAAAAATATGCAAATTTTTTAAATCGTATTATGAAAAAACTAATTTTTTAATAATTTAATTATCTTTAATTAATTAATTTTGGATTTATATTTTTGTCATAATAATTATTATTAAGATTATTTAAAAGATAATAATTAATGTAAAATATTTAAGTATATAGATATAGTAATATTTATTTTGTTTGTTTGCTTGTAATTGAATGCTATATTTATAAAAAAAATTGTAATAAGAGTTTTGTTGGTTTAAATTTTATGATATAATATTAGTTTTAGAAATAAGGATTTGTGTTTCCAATACCATAAGCTTTTACATTATATACAATACTTTCCTATATTTTTATATTAAAGACTCGTTTTTTCAGAATAAATATCAATATAATGTAGTTTTTTATATTCATTCAATATTAAGATTATATTAAATACATTTTTCTAAAGCATTTTCATTCAAAATATTTTTTATTAGTATTATACTTTAGTATTCAATTAACTATACAGAACTTTTAATTAAACTATAATAAATAATATACTTATTTTTTATTATATATTGCATTTTTAAAAATAATATTATATAATTATACATATAATAGTTTTTGGATTAAGAATAATATATCTACATACAAAATTTTGTTAATGATATAATAAATAAAATTATTTTATAATAAATGAACTTAAATAAAAAAAATATTATTTTAATCTTTATTTTTATAATATATTATTATAAAATAAATGAAAATACTGTATTATCAAATAGTTGCATACCATATTTTTATAATTTATGTTAATAATTTTATTTTTTTTAACTTTATAAGTTATAAGATAACTTGTAGTTAAAATTAAATAATCTAAAGCTAAAATGTATATTTATTTAATTTTCTTTAGTAATAAAAAATTAACACTATATATTGTATAATATCAGTATAATATTTACACTGTACTCAAAACTACTTTCAATTTATTAGTTTATTTAAATTATTTTTTTATTTTTGATATTTATAATAGCAAATTGTTTCATATGTATTTTGTAAAATTATAATTAATAGAATCTTATTACAGAATTTTCAAATTTATATTTATTTAAATTTTGCTCAATATTTTATTATTTTAATTTTACTGTAATTTAATTATAAATATTTCACTATATGTCTTTCTCAAGATAATATAATAATATATAAAAATTAAAAATTATATTAAATTTATTATTTTATTAATTAATATCTATCATTATTTTAGATTTATACAAAATAAACAAAATGAATTTTGTATGTCATATATATATGACATACAATATTTATTTATTTAGATAACATTAAATTATTGTAGAATATTATAGTATTTCCGAAAACAACTTTTGTTAATGTGTTATAAATGTTATTATTATTATCTAAAATAACAGTAAATTGAATATAATTTTTCAGATAAAATCTTGCTGTGAATTATATTATAAATGTCATTCAAAAAAAATTAGTAAACATTATTCTGTATATGTATAAGTGTTACAATATATTTATATATTTGTCAGATATAGTTATCTTAGAAATATGTCTAATATAAATTAATAATTCAAAATGAAATTATATATAATATTGTATAAAAATAATATAATTAAAAATATTAAACAAAAATGTAATTGTCTTATTTAGGGTGGAGTCTATGTATCCATATATTTATTAACAAAAATATTACATTTTATTTGATATTTCTATTTTTATAAAAATTGGTTACAAAATAGGTTAGTATAGTTTTTTCATATAAATTCTATTTAAATATAAGATTTATTAAGAATTTTTAGACATATATTTTAAATTTATGAAATATTAAATATTTTTAAAAATAAAATAACATTTATTATAAAAGATTAAAATATTAACATATTATGAATATAAAATATATAAATTAGATAATCATATTTTGTTAATTTAAATAAAGCATTTTATCTTTTAATTTTAATTTGATGTTATATTAAATAAAAAATAGTTTTAAATATTTATTAATATAAACATAAATATCAATTAGAATCTATCTGATAATTTATATAATATCGTATATTTTAATTAAGTTGAGTCATATTAATAATATTTAGATTTGTAATATTTTATCGATTAAATACCTATATAAACAACAATTTATAGATTAATACAGTATTTGAGTTTATATTACACTAACAATAAATATAATGAATATAAAGGTATTTATGTATTTGATATCACAGTTAAAGTACAAAACACTTCATCTATCAAATGACTTTCCTTACGGCTCATGATTTTAATAATGTAATTGAGTGTCAATGTAATTGTAATCATATAAAAATGGTCACAAAACTGATTAAAAAATCAAATTAAATAAATAGTATTTTTTACTATAAAATGGCATAATATAAAATAAATAATTACAACAATATTTATTTAATGTATGTTTTATTTGCAGTACATAATGCAGTACATTATAATTAAATATAAAGCAAAATGTATTTACTTTCTTAACGTTTATATCTACTGATATATACAATATATAAATTATATATACTGTACTAAACATATCTCTATAAATAATATTTTTAATTTAATAGTATAATATGTCAATAATTTTTATTCAAAGAACTATTTGATAAATATCTCATTTTAAAGTTTTTATTTTTACAATAATTTTTTAATATTTTATTAACAACTAGTCTTTAAAAAACATTAATCAAAAAAAATTTTTTTTTTGAAAGTTTTAATAACAAAAGTTTTTAAAGTATTTTATTTAAAAAATTATTTTATAAAAATTGATTGTTTATTGTACATTTTTAAAAAATGTTATAAAAATAATAAATTGTAAAACTAACATTTATTCAACAACAGTCATTTAATATACTATATATATAAAATAATTATTATATTATGTAAAAAATATTAGATGATTTTATTATTTTACAAATTTAACAAAATCTGAATGTTTTACAGCATATTTTTTAAAAATATAATAATCAAAACTATTTTTTTATTTATATTTGTTATTATTATATAATTGATATACAGTATAAATTTTTATCAAATTATAAACAGTTATTTAATAGTTTATAACATTTCATTTTTAATAATTTGATAAAATTCAAGTTAATTCTTATGTTTATTTGTTTCATGAAATTCTTTGGTTTTTGTTTAACAAAATATATTGTCAAACATAAGATCTGGTATTAAATATAATGACCGAAACAAAGTGTTTATCCATTTATATTAGTTAACACAATAAATATAATGTTTTGTGCAGTAAATCCGTGATTAATAAGATTGAATGCTTTAGAAACATTAAGTTAATACTTATAATACAATAAATTTATCATTTCCAACAATATATAGTCTAAAATAATATATAAAAAAACATTATATGATCGATCTATAACAGATCTGAATCTGAAACAGATGTATAATCTAAATATTAATATTACTAAAATTACTAAATATTAAAACATTTTTATATTAATAAACTAAT